TCCTCTATTTTCTGAATCGCTTTTTCACTCACTTCCTCAAGATCCTTACTCTCTTAAAATGAAAGAGTTATTTCCCCTACTCAAAAAAAAGTTAAAATTTTTTAACTCAACTTGAGTGAAATACATTCTTATTTGAGCGAAATTCTTGCTTTGCGTTAACTCAAACTTGAGTGGTATTTATTAAGCAATATTTGAGTGCTTTTAGCTCAAACTTGAGTGATTTATTTATTATTTAATTGCGTGCGAGCGTTAAGATGTAATTTCCATCGTTTTATTTTAAAAAGCAAACGATAATAAATCTAAATAAAATTGTTATGTTCTGTGATCTAAATAGATTACGTCTTCGCTTTTATTTTACGTTTAATTTTTTTTTTGGAGAATATGTCATTTAATATTTTTAATTAAGAAGAATTAAAACAACTTTTAGTTCACAGCGGTATTTCTGAAGACGACGCTGTTTTACTTTTTAGTAAGTAGATATACCTTGTTGCTTTTATTTTGAAAATACTTTTATTTTGAATGTGTTATATACACATTCCACTTAAATTAGCTGTTTTTAAGCGTTTTTTAATAAAATACTATTCATTTAAATTAATAGTCAAAAAAATTTATTCAAATTGAAAGTGTTAAATGTGGATGATTATGGAATATTAAAAAAATCTGATTCTATGCTAGAATCTTTGTCAAAGCATGTGGGAACATATTATATCTGATAAAAGTCCAAAAAGCCATACTTCATGAATTAAAAATACTTAAATACTTTACGCATAAAAATACCTCATCAATAACGAAACTTTAGTGCTTTCCCCTAACAAAAAACTGATTGTTTCTTTGAAAATGAAATTACTTCAATAGCAAAAAAAATTACTTTATTAGAAACGAAATTAAGAAAATACTTTATACTTATATATATAATTCTTAAACTCGTTTACTACTTAATCATACGTTTCTTAATAAGTTAATATACATTTGAATACTAAAAACAAAATAATTAAACTTCGCCAACCTGCATTCCGATAGCGTCGCGGGTAATCCCGGTTCTGAATTGTTGGCTATACCGTTACGTCAGCTGTCGAGTAGCTCCGGTGGGGGGGGGCAGGAAGTAAGAGTTTGATAATTATAACATATTTATAATTTATTTACAAGAACTATATTTACAAAAATTAAGGTGTTACATCATTCTGCCCATCATACTCACTTGGAGCACAACCTCACGCTTACTCACTTGGAGCACAATCTCACGCTCCCTGTTACAAAATCATCTGAGTATGCACATAATTACTACTGCCTATCGCTTAGTGGCCATTCATTTTCTTTTCAATAACAGATTATTGTTAACAATATATCTCTCTCTCTCTCTCTCTCTCTCTCTCTCTATATATATANGTGGATATATATATATATATATATATATGTTCAAGTTGGATTATGAGTGTGTTAGTATAGCTGCTGAAAAGAATGTATATTTTTCTATTTACACATGTTCTTAGTCCAAAAAGTTTGTTTTTTGAGTTGTGCCACTACTGCAGCCTATGAGCGAAATATTGATGAAAAAAGATCTAAGAAACACCATATTACTTTTATAGTTCTTTCCATTTAGTTTTTAATTGACTAAAAATATTTCACCAGATTATTATACTGCCTTTTATATTTGTTACTTTAATAGCTAAAATGAGGTGTTTTTGAAAAGTTGGGATTTTTTTTAACAATTTGTAGAAATTTTCGTTTGCATTCAGCTTCATTTCTCTCTTGCTTTTGACTATTCAGCTGGTTATTTAGCGTATTAAATAAATATTTTTTAACAATTTTGACTTAATGACTCTACTTAAACCTAATATCAATTAATTTAGTAATTTATATTAAAAGAAAAAAAACATTATTTTTATCTCATATAAGTTAATGAGTTAATTGTTATTAGATTTCTTCGCCCTTTACGAGGATTTTCTCTGGTCAAGATAATAGGAAAACATTTAATTTTCAACAAAAATCTTAAGTGAAGCAGTAATTCATGATTTAACAAAAGTTTGAAATTCTGCTTGAAAAAATATTCAACTATTATATTTAAAAAAATTAATTTTTTACTGAAACCTTGCAAGTTTTTTATTTAGGAGAATTGGAAAATATATGTTTTTTTTTTACAAAAAAAAATGCTTAGTTAAATCTTGGAATATTTTTTAATGAGATAAATCTGCGAAATTTAAGCATGCAAAATTTCACGTAATTTTAATAATAAAATTTAGATTAAAATAATTATACTTTTTAAGCATTAGCTTACAGTTTTTTGTATATGATTGTTTCAAGGGATTAAAGCTTAGTATCATTTATATTTTTATTTCAACATTATTAGAGTTATTTCAGCAATAAATGTTAACACAAGTTTAAGAAAATAAAACATTTATGCTCGTAGAATTACCATTTTTATTTACAACACGTAGTATTCGCTTCTAATTTATTTTTAAAGTAATCAATTTAATTTACAAAATGTTGAATTCCTTATTGTGCGTTTAGAGTAAATTTGCGAATCAAAAATTTGAAAATATGTAAAACAGGTAATGTTATTTGACAAATTGTTTTTTCTTATGAAATTGAATTTGAAAAAATACTTTATTTTATTCAGAATAATATTATTTTGATTTCTGTATTTCTTTTTGTTGCAAAACCCATTGCTAAATATGGAAATAATTTAGAAACTCAATAGTTTGAAAAGATGAATTCAGTATAATTTAATATATGAATTTATTTGATCTTTCTTGGATTCACATAAAGAGGAAAAAAGCTTAACTTTCACTCCAAGGGAGAAAAATGTTCTAAAAATTCAAATAAAGATGAATTTCATTACTGAAATGTATTTATCGTTAAAATTCAATGCTTGGTGAAAAGTAAACAATATAAATATTTGCGTAACCTAAAACCCTTTCAATGATTGCCATTTGGCAGAATCTAAAACCTGGCATATTAAATTTAAATTTACGAAAGCACAAGCATACATCGGAAGACGTAAGCTTTGTTTCAATCTGGAATTTTGCATGAAACCGAGATAAAATGTGTGTTATTTTTCATATTTATGCAAAAATACAAAAAAAACATGAATATCAGTAGCAAACATTTATTCTGCATTTAATACATTAAACTGATTAGAAATAATTCATCTTATATTTTATATGAATGCATTACATTGCTGGGTTTAAAAAGTTTTAAATCTTTAAATGTAAACCACTAAACAAATTCACGGTAAATTCTGTATACTTTTCTGCACAATAGTGTGCTTTTATCAATGTCATTTATAAACAAAACAAAGCTTGGGGCTAAAAAAATCATTAAAACTTTCCTTTATTCACTAATAGTTCTTTAGACAAATATTTTCATATCAATATTATATCTGTAATATAAATATGTATGCTTCATTGATTTGTAAAAATTTGCTTTAGATTGTCTGCAAGTTTCAGTAAAATATGTTCTAAAAATATTAACCTTTTACATAAATTTATCCAAACAAAAACCGATTTGTAAAAAAACATTTATTATGACTAAAATCTTTTTAATTTAGGGATTACTGTACAGTTATTTGAGTACAAATAAAAAGTTTCTCTAACTCTAATTAACTTCTTAAATGCAGTAGTTTAGAGATAATGGTCTTGGAAACGTAATTATTATTATAATTATCGATCAAAGTAAATTTGACCATGATAAAAATTCAACAAAAAATAAATTATCGCAATATTATTCTACTTATTATTCTTATATGCCGTTATCGTGTAATCACAGTAAACTTTCAGATCAAATAAAGCAATATTTTATATTTAAAATCTTACCGAGGCAAAATCAGCCGATCAACATCTTTGTCTTAGACAGAAACAAAAAGGGTAAAGTACTAATTGGCAAAATTCTAGTGAATAATATATTTCATTTTTCTAGCTCAGTAACGTATTTAAACACTTCCATATAATTTGATAAGGTAAAGCTTAGAAAGGAAACTTTATGTCATGACTAATTATTAGACATTTTACCATATAATCGCATATTAAATTGTATCTTAATTTCTTAAAAAAATATAAATAAGTATTCAGCTAATTATGCACTCTATATTAAAGAGAGGAAATACATAGTATCAACTAATCGATATATAAATAACTATTTATCAATAATGAAATTATCTTGTGAACTCGTATTCTTAATTTCGCACAACAGACTAAGCTTTGAATAATGTTTCCTTTCCACGTTTTTCTGTCTATTTTGTTAATGATATTATTCAAATTTATGCATCTAATATCGCTTACTGTAAGCCAAGAAAATGACATGAGAGTGCTTTATAAATAAAAACATTATAGCATATGTAGAATAATTAATTTAATTGGTATAGCCTACACCCTTTATATTTTTCGCAAAAAAGTTTGGAACAATGCACAACTTCGCAAAATTTACGTCCTATGAGAAATATTTGCTTTCTAATGCATTTCCGCTCTCTGCGTAACACAGGCTTAGGTTTATGTAAACACAAATTAAGTTATATAGTATACAGATTACAGAGACATAAAAAAATCTGTTCGATACAGCTTCCATTCTGAGTCAACCCCCCTGAACTTGAAACGCTCACAGTAAATCGGTTCGATGCTGAACCATATTATATAAGTCTTGCTGCGACTTGTTAAATGCTATTTATTGATATAGGTTTAATTTTCTATAACCAAATTTTAATGCTAAATATAACCATGATTTCTCTCAAGTTAAACCGATCTTATTCTGTAATAAAATACGAGAAATACAATAATGCGCTAAACTTGGTTGATTATTAATGGTCTCAAGTTAAACCGATCTTATTATGTAATAAAATGCAAGAAATACAATAATGTGTTGAACTTGGTTGATTATTAATGGTTGCTGCATATTTGAACCACATATACTGTTCAATATGCCTCAAAATTTTTAACACTATATCAACGTACTTGTATAATATAAAACCGATTTTTACCAAATACATTCATTGGTATTTTTTTTTCCAGTGATTTTATGTCAACAATATTTTCGAGTAAAACCTCATGATACATCTGTTGTAGCAGGAAGAACGGCAGAACTTCATTGCCATGTTGGAAACCGAGCTGGTCTTGTTCAATGGAGCAAAGATGGATTTTTATTGGGTATTTATGAATAAAATTATTCTATTTTAGTGCAATACATTATTACAAATTATGAACAAATGATTACACGAACTGTATTTTGAAATTAATTCAAAAAATGAAAACTACTCTGGCAGCAGAGTTGCCAACGTTTTCCCGCTATTTCACAGAAGTGATGTTTTCCGATTTTTATTAAGGGTATTTTCCATTTTATGAAATAATGTTTTCCCTTTTTATGATGGATATTTTCCGTTTTATAAACTGTTGTTTTCCATTTTCAGTACGGATTTTTCCGTTTCAGAAACTTATGTTTTCCGTTTTCAGCTTGGATATTTTACATTCTGCTACTGATTTTTTTCCACTTATAAAATTACATGACTTTGATATTACAGCGGAGCAATTCCATCTCAGTGGAAGTAGCATCTGTAGACTATAAATGCACGTAACTTAGTTAGAAAAAGCCAGGCTGCTTCCATAACAGCAGTTTTCTTAACTTTTAGAAAACATTTTTATCTAGGAACGGTATGGAATAAATATGGGTAACACCAACAGTTATTTAAACAAAACAAAAAATCTCAGAACTGCTTTCTTTTTTTAGTAATACTTATTTAAATTATGCAATTGTTGCATCCGTATCTATGGAATTACCCAGCTTGTACTTATATACTTTTTATCCATGCAGCAACTATCGTTCTTTTAGGTAGGGATGTGATAGGTAATTACTGCCATCTTGACTAGATAGTTTTGTTGCATTGAAAAATATATATTTTTTTGATTTTGATGAACTAGAATCTTTGAGAAATCTATGAAATGATGCATTTCAACATAACGATCAATTAATATGCAAATATGAAAATCGTACGTAAATACACTACTAGCCATTTAAATTACTACACCTGGAAGGAATGCGAATAACGGAATGATATTTATTGGACACATACATTATAGTTGGAAGAACAAGTGATTAACTTTTCAGGATATTTGGATGTATAGATCCTAAGGAATCAGTACTCAGAGCAGCTTCCACTGTCAGCAATAATACACTATCTACCAATAAGTATTTGGACACTTATGCAAATGACTATATCTGCGGTCCTGAAATACGTCAAGCCTCCCGCCGATATATATCGTGTAGGGAAAAACATCGGCATTATTCCCATGCAAGATGCCTACTGCACTATTTTGGATGACAATGTGCTTCCTGCGTTGTGGCAGTTTTACGGTTACTTCCCCCCCCCCTTACGGACCCTTGTTACTTCCAGGACGACAATGCCAGCTGTCATGTTGCGAGGGTCACCAAGGCTTGGCTTGGTGCCAATGGGGTTAAACGAATGAACTGGCCTGCCCTGAGCCCAGACCTGAGCCCTATCATGAACCTCAGGGACGAGTTGGATCGCCGAATTAAGAGGTGTACTACCCTTCCAAAATCGGTGAAGGAACTTACATGTCTTCTCCATGCCGAGTGGAACAAAAATATCACTAGCCGTCACACAAGGACTTGTGGAAAGTATTTCCCGGAGGGTTCACGATGCAATTGCCTCTCTTGGTGGCTCTACCAACTATTGATTATGAATAAAGTTTGCTTTCCTTTTCAATCACACGTGTCCAAATACTTATTGGTAGATAGTGTAGCTATTATTCTCCTGGACATCGAGTCGAACAGAGATTGGATATCATGGACGGGTATAGCATTCCATACAGCTTCAACAGTATGTCACAATTCCTCGAGCGTAGGTGCCAGTCGTTCGGTAACTATTGACCAGACGTTTTCAATTGGTGAGAGAACAGGAGAACGTGCTGGTCAGGTCTACAGGCAAACATGTTCTGTGTCAAGAAAGATCAGGACAGTGCGGGCAACATGTTGTCGTGTATTGCCTGCTGAAATGCAGCATTATAATTTTTAGGATCATTAGTTAGAGCGTTATTAGTTAGTGGATTTTGAAAATTGTTGTGCTTAATTTCATAAAAATACTAATTGTATAATTCATGTACTTCTTGTGCTTTGTACTTGAGTCATTTAAATTATGTAAAATTTACTTAATTAACCATATTTTTCAATTTGAGTCTTACTGTAATGGTAAATAACTATTGATAATTTTAATGCTATGAAATCGGAAATATTTCAAACCTTTCCTGCACCTCATTGCAGAAAAATACCCTACAATCCCCAATTTTTTTTTAAAGAAGAAAATAAAAAAAAAATAATGTTATGTTCCTTTTAAAAATAACGAGCACTATAAAAAGTGCTCTCTAAAAGGTTTATCTTACATTTACGTTAATATACATACTTTAAAAGATAATGATTATCAATCACAATACAAATTTCGCTACATCTACAAAACAACTTAAGAGCTCTTTCTCAGAATTCCACAAAAAATTGAAGATTAAACTTCAAATAAATAAGTATTGCACTAAAACTCAAGTGACGATTAATACTTACATATCAACGGAATCAAGTTTTTCAGCTGCTAGAAAAAATAAATAAATAAAATATTAGAAAAACTATTACCCAACTTTATGTAATAAAAAGTATTCTCTAAAATCAATTTTTTTGTATCTAAAATACACATTTTATCTAAATTATTCATTTATCCAATGGATCTCCAATTTCAATTTGAAAATAAAATGGTTTTTTCCTAATTTTACATAAATATAAAGGAAGCTTATAAATTAGACAAAGATGAAAGTGATTTTGTGTGTAAATGTAATGTACTGCAACGCAAATGTACTGCAATGGAATAAAGTACTCATTCATTTTTATTAAAAATTTACCTAAAACTCTATTAAAAAAGAGCAAAAGAGACAAAACTACAAAATATTTTATTGAAAGATCATAAATTAAAATCCCTTTCGGAATCTCGCAATTTTCTTTATAAATGCCAAAACTGATTCTGCCACTGAACTTCTTTTCCCAAAAAATAGTTATTGATTTTCTAAAATTGTTGAAAACAAATTCGATAGAATAGTAAAATTTTGTTGACCAATAACTTTAATGCTTAAAATTAATTATTATTACAGATTAATTAAAATTAAAATTTAATTATATTACCAATATATTTAAAAAAAACTGAACATTTCTCCAATATTTTTGGCAATAAATTAAATTTTAAAACAAATAAACACACGCTTTGAAACATTAAAACAGAAAATTAACAGGAAACAACAAGAAATTTATATGAAACTAAGCAAAATAGAATTCTCACAGAAAGTACTGTAAAGCTATTATTTTAATTATTATTATAATTATCATTTTAAATTTTTAATGACAAATCATTTTCGTTTAACCTAAAACTCAGTAACAAATTTTAAAATAGTTTATTAAAATATTTTTCACATAAATTACAATTATTTTTATTTATAAACCATTAAAATTTATATATTAATGCATGCATTTAATATAATCAGATGCTTGTTATTAAAAGTAAATTCATTTCTATCTCAGTAAAATAAAATAAACATTGTTAGAAATAGAAAATTATTCTAGTAAGGAAGAGATATAGTAATACGGCAAATAATTAGGTTTATACTATGATATTTTTTGATGCACAGGTGGACGTACCTGTAAACATCAGACAAATTACTTCAAAAACAATCTAATTAAGAGAAGATAAATTAAATGTTAGTAGTTTACATGCTCACAACTATAAAAGTTTTTAGAAACTTTGAAACTGCAGTACGAAAATATAATTGAAATGAAAATTTTAAATAAAATTTTAAGCTTTTGCTGATCATTTAAGCTTTTGCATTTTTAAGCTTTTGCTTACATTTTGCTTTTTTATTATGAATGTAATATTTCTTTTATTTATGGTATTCGCAATCCGAAAAGTTCAATTAAACTAATTTAAAACATTTGATATTTTTTAAGTAAATCAAAAATACTATTGGAAAATCTCAATGGGTATTTTGAAAGAAAGGCATACCAAATAGGTAACAAGATATTCGTAATTATTTATGACATAGAAAAAAGATATTTCCGATGAATATTTATTATTATATATAATAACTGATATAAACTAATTTTCCTGATTTTCATTATCGGAAAAAAATATGCTAACTAAGAAGAAAAAGCTCTCCTAAACAATTTTAAATTGGAATGCTTTTCCTTGATATGTAGGAAAGATATTTGTATTATTCATTTATGCCATTAAATACCATATAAAAAGTCTTAATAATTTAATTAAAAAGTAACAAAGCCTTATTTTTAAGTACTGTTTATTGCACTGTATCATTTCAGATCCGTCTTACAATAATTAACAGTAATACACTCACTCATTGTTTTGAATAAAAAAAGTTCTTATCTGAGCAAATAATTTTTTACAATTATTTTTATAGTAGTTTACCAATTTTAGACTGTTATTAATGTGTAACATACTCTGCATTCGCATTGCATTAAATCTAACCAACTATAATATTGATCAGTGTCAGCTCTATTTAAAACTAATTTGTATCATTTTGCTAGTAAATAAATGTGAAAAACATTACATTAACTTGAAAAATCATTTGAAAACCATATAAAAGCAATTTAATTTTTTTCAACCCTGTTCCTATGTAAACCATATATTGTAACAATATAGCTTAGAAACTTCTAGAATTTTATAAATAGTTGGTATTTTTAGATTTATCTATTTTAGTTAATGGTAAGTTGATAAAAAAAGGAAATTTTAGCAAACACCAAATCGTAGTTCTTATTCAATCACAAGAATGAATTCGCAATGGGAGACAAATAATTTAATGAAAACTATCTGAGCCATAAAGACAGCGATATCACATATATTGTAAAACACATGCGAGTTTCACATCTTATAGGATATTTCCTTAGCATCTAGTCTATCTCACATTTCAAACTATTATTGTGACAGCACTTCTACCCTGTGCTGTCACTTGCAAATACTGAATACTGTTCAGAATGTTTCTTCTGCTCCAACATATTAAGGGTTCCATTTTTCAGCGCAAAAGATGTTGAAGAGGCGAAACTAGAAATACTAAGAAATTTTGTCTTTCTTAGATCTACTGTTCTAATA